CTGACAAGCCCCGCTCTTGTAGGTGACATCCAGCGTTTCCAGCGGGACTTTGCCTCCCGCCTGTGGCTCACGTACCGCCGGGACTTCCCGCCCCTGGGGGGGGGCTGCCTGACCTCGGACTGTGGCTGGGGCTGCATGCTGCGCAGCGGGCAGATGATGCTGGCGCAGGGCCTGCTGCTGCATTTCCTGCCCAGAGGTGAGCAGCAGAGGGGAGGGCGCACTAGGAGTACAGCGCCAACCACCCAGCTCAGAGGGTTTGAATTGTGCATAAACTAAGAGCCTAAAGTCAGGTTAGAATTGTGCCTAAAGTAGGTTTAGGGGGTGGTGAGAGTGATTTACAAAATAAGTTTCACACGGAGTCTTGGGAGCATTAGCACTGTGTGCAGAGCAGCTGGAAATGGGAACCTTGCCCCCACACACCAGCACCGTTTGACTGTGTGCTCCATCCCCACCAGACTGGACGTGGGCGGAGGGCGCGGGCCTGGGCCCCCCTGAGCCGTCGGCGTTGGCTTCTCCCGGCCGGTACCGTGGGCCTGCCCGATGGATGCCCCCGCGCTGGGCCCAGGGCGCCCCCGAGCTGGAGCAGGAGCGCCGGCACCGGCAGATTGTATCCTGGTTCGCCGACCACCCCCGGGCCCCCTTCGGCCTGCACCGGCTGGTGGAGCTTGGGCAGAGCTCTGGCAAGAAGGCGGGTGACTGGTATGGGCCGTCTCTGGTGGCACATATACTCAGGTGAGGGCCACTGCAGGGGACACGGGAGCCGCTGGGTACCCCCAGGAGCTCAGGCCTTCCCTCTCGCCCCCAGGAAAGCAGTGGAAAGCTGCTCAGAGGCCACCCGCCTGGTGGTGTACGTTTCTCAGGACTGCACAGGTAAGGGGACCACGGTCACAGCATTCTCACCCTGAGCTGGTCGCTACCACTGCCTCATAGGACCCACCTTCCTCAGAGGTTGAAACAAATTCTGGGGCAGAGGGACCCTTGGAAAGGATTCCAGGCCCACACAGGGGAGGCCCTGAGGGTCCCTCCACTCCCTCGGGAGCCAGGAGAAGAAACTTCAGGAGCTTCTCTCCGAGTAACAGAGTAAAGGACATCAGGACTTCCTTCTGTCGGGTCCAATTAACTCTTACTCTGCACACAATTCTAACATGTACGAAAGTCTGGTCTCCGCCTCGTAGGGTTGTCACGAGGATTAAATAAGTCAGTAATTCAAGTAAAATCCTTAGAGCTGTGCTTGTCACATACTAAGTGTGACACTAAATATTAGCTATTATTGTTATTCTTCCTTGCTACCCTCCAAATCAGTTTCGAAAGGGTCTTAAATTAATAGGAGCCTCTGTGGATTGATATCAGGGAATCTATAAAACCTGTCAATTTTTATGCAGAATTGTAGGGATTGGCAGGCAAGGTTTGATTTTCATAGAGAGTCATTGTCTTAGTCTGTTAGGGCTGCTCTGACACCAACACCATAGACTGGGCAGATTATAAACAACAGGAATTTATTTCTCATAATTCTGGAGGCTGTGAAGTCCAAGATCAAGGCACCCACGGATTCAGTGTCTGGTGTGCCCACTTCCTGGTTCATTTTGCTGTGTCCTCACAGGGTGGAAGGGACAAGGGAGCTCTTGGGGGTCCCTTTATAAGTGACTAATCCCACTCATGAGGGTTCCATCCTCATGACCTAATCACCCCCCAGAGGCCCCACCTCCTCACGCCATCCCCCTGGGGGTTAGGATTCAGCACATGAATTTGGGGGGCACACAATTGTTCAGACCAGAGCAGCTGTGTCTCCAGAAAGGGTTGAATCTTCTTGTCTGGGAGCCAGGAAGGGGTTTCCATAGCAAGGGAGGAGGCGGGAGAATGGAGCCCAGCAGAGAACTGAGGAGAAGACACACACAGGGACGTGCTGGTGAGGGGCGCGCTACTCGGTGCCCCCGTTTCCATATTGGCAAACCAAGGCGCCGGCTCAGTGAGGACGAGTCAGGCCTGGTCCTGCGGAGGCGCCCCACCTCTTCCCGGCTTTACACTCTTTGTCCAAATCTCAGGGCCTTTCTGTAAAATGGGGCATCCACACTGGCCTGGAGGCCGTGGGATTGTCTGAGGAAATTTGGGGGCACTGGAAAGACATCCTTCTCCACTGATGACGGGAGTGTCACCCCTGAGAGGCTGGGCCCCTGGGCGTGGAGGGCCACACTCTGAGGCTTGAAGGACGGGTCGAAGGTCACCTGCTGCCCTTTCCTTCCAGTGTACAAGGCGGATGTGGCACGCCTGGTCGCCAGGCCGGATCCCACGGCCGAGTGGAAGTCTGTGGTCATCCTGGTGCCCGTGCGGCTGGGTGGCGAGACTCTCAACCCCGTGTACGTGCCCTGCGTGAAGGTAGGCTCAGCCAGATTCCACTGTGCCTCCCGCCTGGAACTTTCCAGGTGGTTCCGGCTTGGGTTATGCTTCATCGCTCCATCTGTGTATTCAATAGTTACGGAGCACTTAGGCTGGGGATTCAGAGATGAACAGAACAGGCAAAAATTCGTGCTCTCTGGCGTGGACATTCTGATGGGGGAGTGACAGGCAGGGGATCTGGGACCAAACTGACAGCTGTGACAACTCGGACTGTAAAGGAACTAAAACTAACAGGAGAAGGGCAGAAGGGGGTGGCTACACAGCCTAGGAAAGCCCCTCTCCAGCCAGGGGCACATGAGGAGCCGGAGGAGGAGTGCTGGAAAGAACCTGGTGTGTTTATGCTCAGAGTAAAGGCCAAAGTTCTCCCCAGAGCCCACAAGGCCCTGCACCATGTCCCTGTCCCTTCCTTGACCTCATCTGCTGCCCCCACGCTCCTCCTCGCTTCACTCTGCTCCAGCCGCCCGGGCCTCGTCACTGTTCTCAGAACATGCCTGCCTCAGGGCCTTTGCACCTGCTCTTCCCTCTGCTTGGAGTGCTCTTTCCTGAGATGCCCTGAGACATCACCTCTCAGTGAGGCCTTTCCTGACCTCCCTATTTAAAATTGCAAAGCCCCCCTCCCTCCTTTATTCTTCTGCCAATATCATCAGCTTCTGACACATGACAAAACCCATTCATCTTGTTCCTTGTTTGTTGCCCACACTAGAATGTCAGCTCTGTGAGGAACTGTAGTTTTGTCTCTCTTGGTCACTGCTGCCCCCAGGGCATTGGGCATTTGCTAAGCGTTTGTTGAGTGACTATCTGATAGCACCTGCCCTGAGACCTCTTCTTCACCCACTCTCCTTCCTGCAGGAGCTCCTGCGTTCTGAGCTGTGCCTGGGCATCATGGGGGGCAAGCCTCGGCACTCGCTGTACTTTATCGGCTACCAGGGTAGGCCCACCCCATCCCGCTCCATCCTGGCCCACCTTACCCTTCCCCACTCCCGCTCACGCCTCCTCCCCCGCAGATGACTTCCTGCTCTACCTGGACCCCCACTACTGCCAGCCAACCGTGGACGTCAGCCAGGCTGACTTCCCCTTAGAGGTGAGTTGGGATCCCTGGGGTGGGGTTGGGGGCGTGTGCAGGGAGCTGGGGCCCCCTGAGCTCCCCTCGTGTGTCTGCCCCAGTCCTTCCATTGCACCTCCCCCCGCAAGATGGCCTTCACCAAGATGGACCCGAGCTGTACGGTGGGCTTCTATGCTGGAGACAGGAAGGAGTTTGAGATGCTCTGCTCGGAGCTGACCAGGGTGAGCAAGAGGAGCAGGGTAGGGTGGGGGACAAGGGCCGGGGCTGGGGTGGAAGAGGAACAGAGGCCTCCAGGCCAGCAGGCCTGGGGACGCTGCTTCCCAGCTGTGTTGTCAAGATGATTCCCCTGTCCACAGGCCACAAAAGCCCAGCTGTAACTGATTAGAACGAAAAAGGGGCATAAAATGAAAAGTTAGGAGCATCACTGCCTCGGGAGACAGCTGCATCCACTGGCTCAAGTGGCAGGACCACTCCCTGTCTCCTGGCTCTGATGTCCCGACAGGGCTTTACCCTTATGGTGGCAAGAGGTGGCCGCCAGCCTTGCTGGGCACTGCCTCTCAGTTCAGTGGAAAGGGAGCCCCACTTTCCCAGCAGATGCAGCCAAAATCCCAGGGCTGCCGTTCATTGGCTGCGCTGGGTCACATGCTCATCCCTGAGCCAATCACTGTCCGATGCTGATTGGCTGGTCTGTCACGGCCCTGAAGGGATGGAAACTGAGTTGACCGAAGCAGCTGATAAATATCTCTATTAGGGTAGCTAACAGGGCCACTGCGTTTGGGGCTGAGCCTCCCTCCCTGCTGCCCCCAGGTCCTCAGCTCCTCCTCGGCCACAGAGCGATACCCCATGTTCACCCTGGCCGAGGGCCACGCTCAGGACCACAGCCTGGACGACCTCTGCTCGCAGCTCTCCCAGCCCACGCTGCGGCTCCCTCGCGCCGGGCGGCTCCTCAAGGGCAAACGCCCGAGCTCCGAGGACTTTGTGTTTTTATAAAGGGAGGGATGGGGGAGAAGATGCGACACTATTTATTTTTCTATTTATGTCACGCTGGGTGTGGAGCTTGAAACTCTGGCGGGATACGATTTCCCCTTCTCGCCGCTGCCTTGACAAGCGCAACGAGTCCAGTCCAAGACAGCTCCGGGCTGGGGCCATCCAGCCAGGGGCCGAGCCCTCCTCGCAGGGACGGAGGGCGGGCGGGCTCCGGGCACCCACTCAGGGCCTCACTCAAGTACTGTAGTTTGCACTGGACGCCCGCGCCCCTCGCTGCTCCCCAAGCCTCCACCCTACCAAGGGCCCGTGGTGGTGGGAGGGGGGATGTGTGGCCGCCGGGGGCTAATAAAGCCGTTGACTTGACCTTGGCTGTGGCTGGACCCAGCATTTGAGGGATGGGGCCCCGGGTATGTTTCCAAGTCACCTGGGGAAGCTTAAGTCGGCCTCAGTTTCCACATCTGTAGGATGGGCGTGCGCCCTTGCCCGCGGGCAGACATGACAGTCTACGCAGTGGACAGGGCGGGGTGCATTCGGGGGCTTGACTGGAGGAGAGGAGCCCGGGGGCCCCTGGCCGCTCCCTGGGGCTCAGGGGCCGCTCTTGGGTGCCTGCTGTTTCCTGCGCTGCCGGCCCAGCTGGCGGAAGTGCAGCCGCTTGGGGTTGAGGCCGAAAGCCTGGAGTCTCTGGCGGCTGAACTCGCGGCCACCGAGGGTCACCGTGGGGCCCAGGAGCCGCGCCTTCTTGCCCCTCCTCCGCCTCGGGGGGGCTGGCTGCTCAGTGCGCGACTCCGGCGACTCCGGGGCCGCCCCTTCTTGTGCCGGGGGGCTCCCAGGCCGGGGCTGCTTCCCGCAGGCCCCATCGGGCGCCGCCAGCTGCCCCTGCGAGCCCGCGTTGTCTCTCCGCGGCTTCCCTGTGGCTTCCGTGGGCGTCTCCGGCCGGCCGGGGGGGGGGCGGAGTCAGGGCTCGGGCCGGGCACGATTAGGCCCCTTCCTGGGCACACGTCCCCCATTTTACAGATGAGGAAAGGAGAGGCTCAGAGAGGCAGCAATTCCGGGGCCTGTGGGGGCTCACAGCAGGTTTTCTCCTGAACCCTGAGGCTGGAGTGCATGGCCCATAATTCCAGTATTTGCACCTCTGCCTACACTGAGCTATTCATATAAATTAACCCATTTCACCTCCAAATCAACCTCGTGAGCTTCTATCACCTCCGCCTTATAGATCAGCAAAGAATAACATAACAATAGCTAACACCTATATGGGATTTACTCTGTTTTATATGAATTAATTCACTTAATCCTCAAAAAACCCAACAAGAAATGAGTCATCTTTATCCCCATTTTATAAATGAGGCAACAGGCCCAGAGACGGGCGGTGACTTGCCCAAGGTCACACAGTGACAGTCCAGCCAGGATTTGAACCAGGTATCAGAGAAGGGAAGCCCGTTCCCAAGGTCACATAGCGAATGGCTGGCACAGCACGACTCAAAACCTGGGCCTGCAGGCTCCCCCCCCCCCCGCCCCCGCCCCGCGACACTCACTCCTCCGGGCACAGCGACTTGAAGATCTGCCTCTTTTTCCATGAGTTCTGGGCCTTCTGGCTGTACACCCGCTTGTCCTGCAGCTCCTCCTGCTCCGACCTGCGGGCGCCCGAAGGACACACCTGTCGCGAGGTGCCCGCGCTTGCCCGCCCGCCCTCCTCCTGGGGCACCAGCGCCGCCCCGCCCGTCACCTGTACATGCAGGTCTTCTTCAGAGAGCACCACCGGTTCAGCTCCTTGTCATCAGCCGCGAGGATCTGCCAGGGAACAGAGTGGGGGGAGGTCTTTGTGCGTGAGCCCCGGGGACCCTGACTCTTTAAGCCTTAGTCACCTCATTGGGCAAATCGAGGTAACGTTAGTACCACTTAGCAGGGATGTCACGATGGGGGCAAAGAACTGATTTCCGCGGAGGCCGCTGGATGCTTTCTGCAGGGGGCATCATACGGGGAAACTGAGGCTCAGAGAGGGATCCTTGCCCCAAGTCACACAGCCAGGAAGTGGCTCATTTCAGCTTCCGGTTTGGGCCCGGGAGCCCTCGCCCATGTGCCCTGGTCCCGGCAGCCCCAGAACAGGGCAGGGGTCTCCGTGCCAGGGACCGGGTTTGCCAATTACAGATGAGACCCAGCTTCCCAACCTCCAGGCTCCTGCCTGCAGGCCTCAGTTTCCCCACTTACGAGGTGGCCACCCCCTCAGAACCTGCTGGAAGGTCAGAAAGATTAAGTAAGTGGACACAGATGGTATAAGCTCAATAAACATTTTTACTGATCACGACGAGTCAGTCACCCACAGCCAGCAGGGCTGAGACAAGTGACGTTCAAAGAGCCACAGACGTTTGTTTCACCTCCACAGCCACGAGGTGGGGGCCATTATTAGGCTCATTTTACAGGTGGGGAAACTGAGGCACGGAGCCTTAAGTCACATGCCCAAAGTCACACAGCTGGTGAGTGGCCGAGCCAGGATTTGAACCCGGGCCATCTGGTTCCAGAGCGCCCCAAGTTTTAACAGCCACCCTGCTGCAGACAGACAGACAGGAACAGAACTAATAGTGAGATTTATGGGGCGTGTTATGGGCAAAGATTTCTTTGAAGCCCCCCTGCCTCCTGGGCGGCCCCCAAGCGTCCTGCGCCCGCCCCAGGCCCCACCTCCTCAGTGCTCAGCCCAAAGTCGCAGGGCACCACGGCGCGGTACTTGAAGCGACAGGGCAGGTCGTCGATGACGTCCTCGTAGTCCAGCCGGTAATACTCGTCCAGGTACTCCTCGAAGGTCTTGTCCCCTGGGGGAGAGCCAGGCTGCCGGGCTGTCCGGGCCCTGCGAGCCCCCGCTGCCCACCGCCCGCCCGCCCGCCCGGGGCCTCACCCGGCTCGAACACCGGCTTCTCCCGCCCCACGGCCGCCGCGAAAGGCGACTTGCGCTTCCTCTTGCCCGTCGAGGGGGCCTCGCGCTGCCTCCTCCGGGGCTGGCTGGGGTCGTAGTCGGCGTCCATCTGCCGGGATGCGCAGGTGAGCCCAGCCCTCGGGGCCCCCGAGGCAGTCCAACCCCCGGCCCCCGCGCCGTGGCACCTACATTGAAGTCGGGGTCCTCACAGTGCGGCTCCTCCAGGCTCCACGCTCCGCCCTGCTCGGGCCCGGCCCACGTGTCCCAGTTCCAGTCGTCTGGTTCCAGGGGACAGACAGGCAGCGGTGGCCCGAGGGTCAGAGCGGGACTTGAGGCCTCAGGCCCAGCGCCCACACCCCCAGCCCGGCCCCGGGTGACCTCACCTTCCAGCCCTTCCTCTTCCTCAAACTGTGGCTTCTCCTCCTCCGTCGTGCCGTAGTATTCGGCCCCGAAGCACCTCTGTAGGGTCGGGGCCCGGACGTCAGCAGGGCCCCCCCCCCCCCGATGGCCTTACTCCCGCACCTTACATGGCTCCCCAGTGCCCCCTCAGGAGCCAGCTCCTGATGCGGGAAGCCTGCGTGTCCAGGCCCCTCCACACCCCCTTCTTGGGCTCATCTTGCTCCACCCACCCCCTGTCCCCTGCTCCACTGGCTGCCATGCAGTTCCACAGACCCAGTGCTCTCCCCGCTCCTGGCCTTTGCCCCTGGGTATCCAGCACGCAGTGGGGGCCTGGCAAAAGCAGGTATTGCTAACCATGTCATTTATTAAGCACCTCCTCTATGCCCAATGCTGGGCTGCATTGCGCTGCATTCTCACAAGCACCCCAAGAGACAGAAACTACCTCTGTTCCATTGAGAAACTGAAGCTCAGAACTGAGCTTCTAGAAAGTGAAGGCTGAACTCTGACTACATAGCAGCCACTCACTCAGGTTTTCACCTGGCCTAACTACGCATCCTCAGTCTCCTTCCCTGACCTCCCAGGCTTGCTCAGGGGCCTCTTTGGGGCACCTGTGGTCCCTACTGTTTCTCCCACACAGCCCTCATCGCCTGTTTCCATGGCCTGATGCTGTGTTCCCACAAATACAACAATAAACATTAATGGCTCAATAAATGAGTTTAAAGGAAATACAGCAACCCACTGTTCCTTGAGCATTTACCAACTAAACTTTTACGTATACTCCTCTCAGGCTATCCTTACAACAGCCCTGAGGTAGCTGCTATGGTTGGACACACTTTACAGGCAGGGACACAGGCTCAGAGAGGTCAAGTCACTTCTCTGAGGCCACACAGCCAGGAAACAACCGCTAATTCAAAGACCACACTGCTGAGCACTCGACTGCATGGCCGGGCCGGGGCGCAGGGCCCGCACCTGCATGAGCTGGTCGTGCCGGGTGGGGTCGAAGTCCTCCTCCAGGTCCCGCTCCTCAAAGCCCAGGGTCTCGTTGCCTGTGACCTGCCGCAGCCTCTCCAGCTTGGCCAGAATCTCCTTCCTCTTCAGGTTCTTGAGTTGCTTCAGCTCTTCCTGCTTCTTCGCTTTCTCCTGCGGGCGGCAGGCCGAGGGGGAGGGGGAGAGGACGTGGGCTCTCCTGGCAGGCTGGGGGCCCTCCCCTGCCCGCCGCCCCCACACTCACCCTCTTCTTTCTCTCCCTCGTCTCCTCCCTCCTCTCCTTCCTGCGCTCATCCTTGCGGCGCACGGAGGACGCGATGCTCCGAGGGTAGGTCTTGACCTGTGGGCAGCAGGGGGGACCGGCAGGGCCACAGAGATGATTCCGGGCCCTCCCGGCCTGGGCCCCACAAGCCGGGTCCTCCCCAGCCCAGCCCTGGTCACCCACCAAGGCTGAGTCCGGCTCCTCGAAGCGGAAGTTGTACTTATGCTCAAAGTCCTCCTGTTTCTTCAGAAACAGCTCGCCCTCGTCTGAGGAGTCATCCACGGCCAGCTGGACTGGGGGGCCGGGGACCCTGAGGGACGAGATGGGGCGGGATGGGGGGTCAGCCGAGCTCTGCACTCCTGCGTACCAGCCGTGTTAACTCATCTAATCCTCACAAGAACCCTACGGTATGGTGCGTTACCCGCATTTTACAGATGGGGAAACTGAGGCACGGAAGTCTAGCGGCAGGGCCAGGATTTGAACCAGTGCCACCGGCCCCAGAGCCCACACTCTGCGGCTCTTCCTCACCAATGACTAACTCTGTGTGAAAAAGGAAACACCCAGGGCCTTTGCTTTCTGGCCAGCATTGGCTCCAGGCCCCTGGGGGACATGGCAGCTCACCCTTCCTCCTCCTCCTCCTCCTCCTCCTCATCTTCCTCCTCCTCATAGCGCTTGTTGAGGATGTAATCCCGCAGGAACTGCTCCCCTTCGTCCAGCTCTGGGTTGTTCCAGTATTCTTTAAGGTGACTCTGGGGGTGAGGGGGTGACAGGACCCAGGTCAGGGACTCGGGAGCAGGGAAGGAGGGCGGGCACGGGCACCAAGCGGATTTAAGTAACTTAAATGTCACGGCCAGCCTATGAGTGGCATTATCGCCATTTTACAGATGTGGAAACTGAGGCCCAGAGAGCGGCACACCCCATCCTCAGAGGATATGCCCTTGGCTACCCTCTATAGCGTTGGTTTCTGGGAAAAGGTTGGATGGAGATGGGGCAGGATATAGTTCTTCAGTGACCATGCACGGGAACTCACCAGTTCTTTCAAGGTGTCCGAGTTCTGAATCTCCTTCTGCCCCTTCAGCCATTCGACGTAATCAGCATCCTCCTGGGCCTGGAGGAAGGCCGGCGCTGAGGGTCTGCGGGAGCCCCAGCGCCCCCTCCCCGGTCCAGCTGGGCCCAAGCACCCACCTTCTCCTCCCTGGTTTTAGCACGTTTCTGCAGCAACCCAGAGCCACCTTCCCCGGCGCTGTCCTCTTCCTCGCTGTCCTCCACGAACGCGCGGAAGCTGCCCACACAAGAGAACAAGCCTCAGGGTGGGCCGGCTGGCCCTGCCCACTGCCCCGAGATTAACCCCGACAAGCTCAGAGCGGTGCTGTGACACAGAGGGCATTATCAACCCCATTGAACAGATGAGGCAACAGAGGCACAGAGAGCGCGAGTGACGTGCCCAAGGGCACACAGCCATTAAGTGACAGAGCTCGATTTGAACTCAGACCCATCCAACCCAGACGCCTCAGCTCCTATCTGCTCAGCAGCCCAGGCTCACCTTTCCTTGAGCTGTTTCTGTTCTTCCACGTAACTTTTAGACGAGACCTCCTGCGGAGAGAGTGACGTGGCCTCAGGCCCAGCCCTGGGCCCCTCAGCCCCCCACCCGGCCTCCACCCCACCCACCTGGAGTCTCTGACTGGAGGTCTCCCCATCTGAGTTCTCCTCGTCAACATATTTGCTGCGCAAGGAAAGATGGGGGCTTGAGAACAGACCCCCCAAGGCCTGTCTGTCCCCACGGGGCGGGGAGCTGTAACCAGCAGCAGCTGGGGTACACGGGGATCCTCAATTTCAGTGAGTCGCCAGCTCCTTCCCACCTGGCCCCTAAGACCCCCAGGGGGCCACCCCCTGGGGATAGGGAGGGCTGTCTGGCCCTCAGGGGGCTGGGGGACAGGGCTTGGGTGCTCCCATGGGGTGTGCTGGGTTCGGGGGTAACCCCACCCACCTCTCCACCTGCCCTGGGAAGGCTGGGGGCAGGGGAGTCAGGCTTTCTCCTCACCCTTCTTTCTCCAAGATCACCTTCCTCTCATAGTCCTTCAGGTACATCGGCCGCACCTTCTCGGGCTTCTCCTTGGCTTCGGGCTCCTCCTCGCTCTGCGAGGACAATGCTGCGGGGCCACCAGAAAACCCGCCATCACCCACAACCCCCTGCCTTCCCCAGGTAGAGAATCCCACTGGGCTGGGCCGGATTGAGGTTTCAGATCCCCAAGCCACCAGGTCCTGGCTGTACAGCAGGATCCCACCTGGCGGTGACTGTTCAGTGAGTAATTCACACTCAGAACAGCCGTTATTAACAACAGGTAATACTCTAAGACACTCTGCTAAGGACTTTTGGAGTGCAATGATTTATTAAATAGTAACTACGGGTGATAAAGCGATGAGGGACCTGGGCGTCAGACAGGAGCAGCCTCAGACCTGGCCTCTGATAGAAGGTGGCATCTTTCTGGTAAATGCGGGGGTCCCTCTTCTTCAACAAGGAGAGAGTCCTGTAAAAGTCGCGCTCCTGCTGGGGGTCAAACTCCTAAGGCAGGAAAAGGGATGGAGGGAGACTTGAGAAGGGAGGTGGTGAGAGCCCTGGTGGGGGCGGTGATGGGGGGCAGTAAGCAACCAGGGCAGGTGGGCTGAGGAGGTGGGAATTAGGGTGGAGAGAGGAGCTACATTAGGAGGAAGGAGGGGGGAATCCTGCTGGGGAGAGGCGGGTGGGGGGCTGGAGAGCTGGGTCTGAGTGTGTGTGGGGGTCAAACAGGTGGAGGAAGGAGAGGCGCCCTCTTGGGGGTGGGCGGGGGCGGGACACACATAGATACAGGATATGAGACAGAAGGTAGCGGGCAAGGGGAGGGTACTTCCTGGGACGACAGGAGGTTGACATGGGGCAGAGAGGACACAGGGGGACAGCAAGGAGGGGCTGGGCTGCACGGTGAGGCCGGGAAGAAGATCGGGGCTGATGTGGGGAGAAGCTGGGCGCCCCAGGTGGCAGAGGGATGCCGCACTTTGTGGACAGAGTCGGAGGACACTGAGAAATGTGAGACTTTTGGGGATGACGAAGGGGGACGGAGGGGTGGCACCTAACACATCAGGATGGGTAAGTGGATCCGTGGCGGGGGAGGGGAGGCAGGGGGAGATTTGGAGCCCCCTGGGGACGGGAGGGCGCTGTCTGTCCCTCATGGGATTGGGGGCGGGGGCTGGACGCTCCCGTAGGGCGCGATGGTTGGGTGGTACGTCGGGGTTGGGATGCGGGCCGGGGCGGGGAAGCTCACCACGCGCTCGTCGCTGGAGTCAGACTCGGAGCTGGAGTCGCCGCCGCTGTCCCGGTCCCCGTAGCGATCTTTCACTGCGGGGCAGAGAGGAGAGCCCCCCAGATCAGCCTGGGGGGACCAGATCGCCCCCCACTTCCTGAAGGTCCCGCACGCGCCGGCGCCCCGCGCGCATGCGCCCCGCACTCACGCCGCTGCAGCTCCTCGCGCTCCCGGTAGCGGCCGTACCGCGCGGCGAAAGCCGCGTTCACCCGCAGCGGCGACGACCCGCGCGGCTCCGGCATGGCGGCTCTGCGGCCCACTGCGCACGCGTGTGGCGAGCTGCCCTGGAGGAGGCGGGGCTGCCAGGCCCCGCCCACCGCGATCTTTGAAGCGGGCGGGGCCTAGCTGGCAGTGCCTAACCCTGCCCCCGGCCCTTCCGGGATCCCTTACGCCCTGTGCCCGCAGTCCCCGCCCACGGGTCACACCTCTGCGGGGAAGGCTGCGGCCACCGCCCACCCCCACCCCCACGGCTCCAGGCACCCAGCTGACATCTGGGGGCCCTTTCTCCACTCGCGGTTTCCTGCCTCCTTTCCGTTCCGACAGCGCAAACCGCTGCCCCACCCAGCTCACTCACCCTGGCGCCCTGGGAATTACCACTCTCTCCCCTCCCCCAAATCATCCGAGATCCGCGACCCCCGGGCCTACCCCGCCAACATCGCGGACGCTCGACTCCCCGCTGCAGACTCAAAAATCACAAGCCACCGGCGCTGTGGTCACGCACAAGTCTTAATTTAATGGGTAAAAACATTAAATTATCACACACAACAATTTTTTCCATAAAGCTTAATAAATAGAATCTTTTTTTCTTTTTAACGCTGTACAAGAGACTGGAAAACAAGCTTCCAACAGAATATGAATGAACTCATACTACCCTTTTATTGATTTGGAATACTCCCCCCTCCCGCCATGCCCGAAAGCAGTGTGCACATTCGAGGTCTCTCTCTGGGTACAGCCGGCCAAGGTCGCCAGGTTCCAGGAGCCCTGGACGCGATGACCTCACTCGGGCTGGGGCTTTAAATGCTGTGCCCTTGGGCCTCATCTGCAGCCCCAGCAGCCTGGGGCGTGGAGGAAACTGAACCGTTTAAGTGGTTGCTGCCTGCAGGAGCCCTTCTCTGCTCAATACACCAAAAGGGGTGAGAAAAAGAAATGAGAAATGCCCCTCAAACACACACACTCCAGAAATCAACACCAACAAGCCACAAACTGGTGCCCCTCCCCCTCGGCAGCGGTCAGGAGGAGCTGGGGGAGAAAGTGTTTCTTTCCTCCTCTTCTGACATGGAACCCAGCGGGTCCTGACGCTGGGGTGGGTGGCGCCGGGTCACAGCGGTGCCACCGTGGGCCCCTGCAGTATGTCCATGAGATCCTGAGCCCCTCTCCCCCGAGCCAGCTCCAAGGGTGTGAGCCCCCTGGCGTCCCTGTGATGGAGATCAGACTCAGCAGCCAGAAAGCTGACCACAGCCGTGTGGCCCTCCCGGACCGCCAGATGGATGGGGAGCGCCCCGGTGCCATCGGGTGCGTTGACATCAGCGCCATGTTCTACCAAGACTCTCAGCGTGTCCAGGAATCCAGTGCGCGCTGCGTCGTGAGCCGGAGTGGTGCCGGAAGCGTCTTGGATGTTGGGGCTGGCACCTTGCTTCAGGAGCTCCAGGGCAATCGTGGGGCTGCCGAACATCATGACCTGTGCGGGGCAGAGGGGCGGGGTCCTCAAGGGAGGGGTTCCAGGAAAAGGGGTCCCTGGAGAGAGGGGTCATTCAGAGAAGGGAACGCCAGAGAAGAGATCCTCTAGGGAACGAAGAAACCCCAGGGAACACAAGCCCCCGGGGCAGCTGTTTGAGAACAAGGAGGCCAGAGAACAAGGCCTCCAGGGAACAGGGACTCCAAGAAACTGGTCACGCCCCTAAGGATAAGACACCCGCCTAGGGAATAGCCCCATGGAAACTTTCAAGGAATCTAAGACCCTCCCCAAGGAACCAGAGCCCCCCCTCCTCTAGATATGGGAAATCACCAGGAAATAGGCCTCCTAGAATGAGAAATTGTCCCCAAAGAATTTGACAGCCCTCTCAAAGGAAAGGAGACGCCCAGGGAATTTGACACTCTTTCTCCAAGAAACAGCCCCGCCCCATATAATGGGGATGATCCCGGGTACCTGGCCCCCTCAAAAAATGGGGTTCGCCTGTAAAATGTCCCCCAGGGGATAAGAATTTCCATGCAATCTGCGACTGTTCCCCCATTAGGACCCCCTATAATATACCATGAATCTGGGGGGGGGGACAACAGGAATGGAGATCCGCCCCAGAAAACTGGATACGTCTAAGAGAAACCCCCAGAAAATGAGGACGCCCTGGAGACATAAATTCCTCCTTCCAGGGATCAGATGCCCCCATAGAAGCCCCAAGAAACCAGAGCCGTCCCCATGAAACCGAGATCCAAAGAAACCGAACCCTTATCCACGGAATAAGCACTTCTCCAGGGAAACTGAATCCTCCGCACTAAGAGAACAAGGAGTCTTCCAGGGAAGATGCGAAGCCCTCCCCTCCCCCACCAAGCCCATCCACCATCCACCTACGAAAGGGGACTCCAAGGAGCAACGTCGGCCCGGGGATGGAGGCTCGGACCCCAGTCGGCCCCCGCCGGGGCCAGGAGACGGGAGGGAAGGGGGCCGGGGTCCCAGTCCTCGCCCCGCTCCCCCCTGCCCTGGCTCGGGGCCGGCCGGGCCTCACCTGCAGCGCCGTCTTGCCGAAGCGGTTGAGGGCGTCGGGGTGCACCAGCTCCCGGCGCAGAAGGCGGCGCACCTCCTGCACGTCGCCTCGAGCCGCGGCCCCGCTCAGCCGGTCGCCGGCGCGGACCTCCTCCAGCAGCATGTCGACGCGGGCGGCCTGCGAAGCCCCCCGCCCCACCGCGGCGCGATCAGTGCGGGGGAGCCCGGCGGCGTGGCCCCCACAGCCCTCCCGGCCTGCGCGCGGCTCCCGGCCCGGCTCGCCACTCGGGGGCTCCGGCGCGACCCCCGCCCTCCCGGCCAGCTCCTCCCACTGTCAGCCAGCGGATCGCGAGGGGCTGGGAGCCGGGCCCAACCCTCCGCCGCCCGCAGGGCCCAGCCCGGCGCCCGCCCCTTGGGGGCCGGGTCTCCCCCCAACTCACCCTCCCTCCTCCTCGACGGGCGGGGTCTGTTCTGAGCGGGCGCCGCCGCCGCCGCCGAGCTGGCCGCCAGGGGGCGGAGCCAGCGCGCCCAGGCCCCGCCCCCGAGCGCCGCCGATTTGTTTTCTTACGAACTCGCTACACTGTAGCCCCAGCCGCGTTGCCCTGCGCAGGGCCCTGCGGCGCACCGCCCACGCGGCCGGCGCAGCCAATGGCGACGCGTCGCCGGGGAGGTTTCGCGTTCCGGCGTGGGCGGCGCCGCTCCTGATTGGCCGAGCCGCGGCGACCGGTGGACCGCCGGCAATGGCGGGGTTTTCGGTTTTCAAACTCGCCGGGCGGGCGGGAAAGAAGGCCGGTTTAACTGACCCAGGGGAGAAAGGTCAGGGGCAGAGGAGCGCGAGCTGCGCCGGGACCTCGGCACCTCCGGGGGGAAGGGAGGCAGGGCTGGGGCCGCCCGGTCCCGGGTTCCAGCACTGAGTCACGCGACATTTATTCGCCGTTACTATGCGCGGAGCGTTTAATTTCATTCATTCACTGCGCGCAGGAACCGTTCCGGGCGTGGGGAGCGCACGTTCCAGGGACTACGCGGGTTTAGATGGCGTTAAGCAGCGCGAAGAAAATAAAAAGGGAAGTGGGGTGAGCGAAGGAGGAATCACGTTCTGGCCCACACTGAGCCAGCCCTGGCACAGCAAATGCAAGAGGGAGGGAGGCTCACGCTGCGGCTGCCACGTGGGCGAGCCTGGGTGGCGAGAGTCGCGGTGCGAGGCCTTCATTCGAGCATTTATTGAGCACCTACTGTGTACTAGGCGCCCAACTGGAGAGCGAGCCGGGTGGGGGGGAAGGAGGGTTCCTGCAGCAGGATGCCTATCGTTTAGGGCGGGAGAAGACAATTAAATCTTTTCAGAGTGCTAAATACTCTGGAGCTGATAAAACAGGGTAAGTGATAGTCTCTGGGGAAAGGAAGCCGCTGAAATAGGTCAGGGAGGGCCACCCGGAGGAGGTGACATTTGATTTGAGGCCTGAAGGTGAGGAAAGGCACCGTGTGGATATCTGGGGAAAAGCATGCCAGGTGGAGGGCAATGCAGATGCAAGGGCCCTGAGGTGGGCGCGTGCCTGGTGTGTCCAGGAAGAGCGAGGGAGAGAGAGGGAGGAGCTGAGGGCAGGTGGTGGGGAGGAGGAGTGCAGCTCAGGCTTGTGGGCTGCGGTGAGGACCCGACTTTTACTTTTAACAAGATGGGAACCGTGGGAGGTTTCTGAGCCGAGGAGCCAGGATCTGACTTAGAAGTTCGCAGGCGCCCCCTGGCGGCTCTGAGGGGAACTGACTGTGGGGGAGGGGAGGCGGGAGCCTGGGGACCGAGGTGGTGGCAACTTCGCTGGCCCAGATGAGCGATGCCCAGGGCTGAGGAATGGATATGTTGCCCACTCCCATCCCAGCACTTAAGGGGCGTCCCTGGCATCCCTGGCCCCCAGCCAAGAAGACATACGCAGCGGCTAGATTCATCTTTTTAATACCACACTAAAACTCAGAGGAGTGGGCCAGCGGGGCCTCTGGGCTCAGCAGCTGTGAAAGAGGAGGGGCCCACAACACCCCCTAAGGCAGGTCACTTCGAGAAGGCACTCATGAGGGGGGCTTCAAGTCCCTCTTCTATTTCTTCATATAAAATTGGAGGATGGGGGAAGCCCGGGGGTGGGAGGGACGGGGCCGGGGACACGGGAGGGACACCATCCCTCCAGCCTATGGGTAGAAGAAAAGGCAGACAGATGCTGGGAGCGAGAAACTGCTGAGCCAGGGGCCTGCCCTCACACACACACACACCCATCTTCCCTCCCCCTCTCTCAAGTCTGCAGTCGGGGCGTCGGGACAGGGAGGCGCATGCTCAAGCCCCCGTCTCTTCTCCCTCCTAGCTGGTACGAAGCTGATAATCTGCAGGGAAACAGTGAGCAGGGACTGTCTCAGAACTGGGGAAAGGAGACAGAGGGGCAGGCCCCCCATCCCTCCCTGGCCCCAGGGCTCTTGATCAACCCCTCGAGTATGTAACAAGGATGGGGTCAGACACAGCGACAGTAACCATAGCAACAAGCCTGTTTCCAGGCAACAGATGGGGGTGCTGTGTGTTCAGCCTCGTCCAAACCCCACCACCCAGAGCTGGCAGCTGCCCCCATTTTAAAGATTGGCAAACCGAGGCCCAGAGTGGCACGGTGACAAAGACAGGGATGAGTTTTGGAGCCCTCCGAGCTAGATTGTATCAAAACCCCAAGACTGTCTCCTGGAGCCGGGGAGCCAGCTGCCTTACCGCCGCTCTGGGTGATATAGCGGACCCAGGGCAGGGCCTGGTAACCGCTTTTCTCGATGATCTTCATGTATCGGACCTGGAAGGGAATGAAAGGACATGGCCAGGCTCGAGGGAGAGCTGGCTGGGGCCAAAGGAATATATGTACCCCCTTGGGAGGTGAAGATAACACAGGCTGGGAGTAATGAGGTGACATGGCTTGGGGCAAAAATGTGGCACGGGCAGTGGGAGTGCGGAGGAAGGTGGTCCAGGATGGCAGGAAAGAGATGACACAGGGTACAGGAATAGACACTGCGGTTTTGGGGGGACGAGGTGGCACAGGCCAAAGTGAGAGGTAGGGGGAGAGGAGACCCAGGCCAAGGAACTGAGGGGACCCGAGCCAAGAGCTGGCAGAGAGGGACACCCACTGAGGCAAAAAACAGGAGCCACCCTGCCCGCTTCCCTCACCTGGATCCCGGAGACGGTGAAATAGGGGATCTCAAACCTGACCCCGATGGGGGGCCGGCCCTCCTCCTCCTCCTTCTCCACACTGGGGAGGCCGAAGTGGGCGCGCATCAGGTACTCCTTGCCCCCCTGCGGGCACATGGGGGCATCAGACACGTCAAGGGGTGCCTACCTGCCCCCAACCATCAGCCCCTGGGGCAGGCTCTGCCCTCAGCCCACTTCACAGCCAAGAAAGTAAAGGCTCCTGGCCGAGACTCACAGCCAAAGCTTCTGATTGCAAAGCTTGGTCGGGGGGTATAGGGGGCTTCTAGTGACTATATCCCATTTGTCAGACCCTGATGAACCCCCTCGCAGATCCAAGGGACGGAGCAAATCCTCCAGCAGCCCAAGGGTGTGGGTAACATGGTCCTGCCTATTTCACAGATGGGCAAACTGAGGCTCCAGGAAGGGAAGGCCTTTCCCAAGGCCCTCTAGCTCAGAACCCAGGGCTGGTTCCCTTGAGACCTGCGAGGGGGAGCACTTAACCACCAGGCTGGCCTGGTTTCCAGCTGCATGACCCCCAAGGATAACCGTGTGCACGCAGATGTGGGTCTCCGATTTACTCTCCGCCTTGCCCTCAAGCAGGGGGGATGAGTCCCGCCAGATGCCCCACCATCCCCAGTGCTCACCGGGAAGGACTTAATACTCCAAATAACGACGTTCTTCTCCGGCACGTACTTGGCGCTGCCCACGCTGGTCTTGAAGCGCGGGGAGTCGGCGTCGCTGGGCACGGGCACAGAAATCTCCACGCCGTTGGCCACCGACTGCTTCTTAAACTGCCCCTTGGCCTGTCGGGGGAGAGAGCGTGGGGCATGAAGAATTCACTCCTGCCTTCTGCAAATCTTCACCAAACCCTTCCAGGCGCCATCTCCTTGAGAGCCAGCCCCCACGACCCTGAAGTGGGGACCATTATCCTGCCCATTGTACAGATGAGGAAACAGAGGCAAAGAGCACTTTGCCAAAGCCACACAGCTGGCAACTGGCTCAGCAGAGATTCGAACCGAGCCTGCGTCCTCAACCATCACACTTGACAAATAAATGCATGAGTTACCACATTCTCTCTGTGTCTAGAGCTGTGTGACACGGGACAGCTTTCAACACAAGGATTCTAAGTGTTCCACGGGTGGTAGCTAGCATTATGATTACTGCTGTTATTCAGTAATTTGGGGAGGGGTGTTTGAGAGGTGGGATCGGGGCAGAGGACCGGGAGAGGGTGTTCTTTCTGGAAGTCACCAGCTTTAATGGCCCCTTGCCCGTTCCCTGCCTGCAGAGACGGGGACATTGAGGAGTGTCCAGACCCTCGCTGGTGGCCATCCACCCCACAACCCAGCTCCCCTGAGACCCTACGACTGGGGAACAGTCAAATCAAAGAGCACAGACTCTTGAGCCAGGCAGACCCGAGTTCAACATGCCCCATCCCTTCCTAGATGAGTGACACCTTAATCCCTCCGGACCTCGGTTTCCCCATCTTAAAAAAGGTTTCACTGTAAGCTCTGGAGAAAATCTTGCTTGGGGCACCAAGAAACCTGCACGGGGCTGTGAACCAGAGTAGCAGGGAACTGAAAACCACCAAGAGAATGGACAGATGTAGAAGATTCCCACAGTAGAATATTCTACAGCTATAGAAATGGATGCACTAAGCTACGCTACAATTCCTGGGATTCGTCTTTTTTTCTTTTTTTTTTTTTGCTGAGGAAGATCCGCCCTGAGCTAACATCTATTGCTGATCTTCTTCTATTTTTTTTTTGTATGTGAGCCGCCACCACAGCATGGCCACTGATAGATGAGTGGTGTCTGTGCCCGGGAACCAAACCTGGGCTGCTTAAACGGAACACGCCGAACTTAACCACTAGGCCACCAAGGCTGGCCCAAGGATTCCTCTTAAAATCAACCTTATATGAACAAAGGGAGTCATACACAAAATCACAAAGCCTGAGTCCACGGATGTGAAGGTCAGAAACCCGCAGAACGGGGGCCAGCTCAGTAGTGCAAGTGGTTAAGTGCGCGCGCTCCATGCGGCGGCCCGGGGTTCGCCGGTTCGGATCCCGGGCGCGCACCAACGCACCGCTTGTCAAGCCATGCTGTGGCGGCGTCCCATATAAAGTGGAGGAAGATGGGCACGGATGTTAGCCCAGGGCCAGTCTTCCTCAGCAAAAAGAAAGAGGATTGGCAGATGTTAGCTCAGGGCTGATCTCCTCACACACACAAAAAAGAAACCCGCAGAACGAAATATTTATGGTTATGCACGTGGGTGGCAAAATTATAAAGAAAAGCAAAGAAATACTTTGCACAAAATTCAAGATGGTGATTCTAGGCAAGGCAGGAGCAGGAACTGGGGGAGGGACGCGGGG